CAGTAAGCACAGCTCAGCACCCAGGAAACACAGCTCAGCACCAAGGAAGCACAGCTCAGCGCCCAGGAAGCACAGCTCAGCACCCAGTAAACACAGCTCAGCACCCAGGAAGCACAGCAACTAGCACCCAGGAAGCACAGCTCAGCACCCAGAAAGCACAGCTCAGCACCCAGGAAGCACAGCTCAGCGCCCAGGAAGCACAGCTCAGCGCCCAGGAAGCACAGCTCAGCACCCAGGAAACACAGCTCAGCACCCAGGAAGCACAGCTCAGCGCCAAGGAAGCACAGCTTAGCACCCAGTAAGCACAGCTCAGCACCCAGTAAGCACAGCTCAGCACCCAGTAAGCACAGCTCAGCACTTAGGAAGCACAGCTCAGCGCCCAGGAAGCACAGCTCAGCACCCAGGAAGCACAGCTCAGCACCCAGTAAGCACAGCTCAGCACCCAGGAAGCACAGCTCAGCACCCAGGAAGCACAGCTCAACACCCAGGAAGCACAGATCAGCACCCAGGAAGCACAACTCAGCACCCAGGAATCACAACTCAGCACCCAGGAAGCACAGCTAGGGTCCAGCACCCAGGAAGCACAGATCAGCACCCAGGAAGCACAGCTCAGCACCAAGGAAGCACAGCTCAGCACCCAAGAAGCACGACTCAGCACCCAGGAAGCACAGCTCAGCGCCCAGGAAGCACAGCTCAGCGCCCAGTAAACACAGCTCAGCACCCAGGAAGCACAGCTCAGCACCCAGGAAGCACAGCTCAGCGCCCAGGAAGCACAGCTCAGCACCCAGGAAGCACAGCTCAACACCCAGGAAGCACAGCTCAGCACCCAGGAAGCACAGCTCAGCACCCAGTAAACACAGCTCAGCACCCAGGAAGCACAGCTCAGCACCCAGGAAGCACAGCTCAGCACCCAGAAAGCACAGCTCAGCACCCAGGAAGCACAGCTCAGCACCCAGGAAGCACAGCTCAGCGCCCAGGAAGCACAGCTCAGCACCCAGGAAGCACAGCTCAGCACCCAGGAAGCACAGCTCAGCGCCCAGGAAGCACAGCTTAGCACCCAGGAAGCACAGCTCAGCACCTAGGAAGCACAGCTCAGCGCCCAGGAAGCACAGCTCAACACCCAGGAAGCACAGATCAGCACCAAGGAAGCACAGCTCAGCACCCAGGAAGCACAGCTCAGCACCCAGGAAGCACAACTCAGCACCCAGGAAGCACAGCTCAGCACCCAGGAAGCACAACTCAGCACCCAGGAAGCACAGCTAGGGTCCAGCACCCAGGAAGCACAGCTCAGCACCCAGGAAGCACAGCTCAGCGCCCAGGAAGCACAGCTCAGCACCCAGAAGCACAGCCAGCGCCAGGAAGCACAGATCAGCACCCAGGAAGCACAGCTCAGCACCCAGGAAGCACAGCTCAGCACCCAGGAAGCACAGCTCAGCGCCCAGGAAGCACAGCTCAGCACCCAGGAAGCACAACTCAGCACCCAGGAAGCACAGCTCAGCACCCAGGAAGCACAACTCAGCACCCAGGAAGCACAGCTAGGGTCCAGCACCCAGGAAGCACAACTCAGCACCCAGGAAGCACAACTCAGCACCCAGGAAGCACAGCTAGGGTCCAGCACCCAGGAAGCACAGCTCAGCACCCAGGAAGCACAGCTCAGCACCTAGGAAGCACAGCTCAGCGCCCAGGAAGCACAGCTCAACACCCAGGAAGCACAGATCAGCACCCAGGAAGCACAACTCAGCACCCAGGAAGCACAGCTAGGGTCCAGCACCCAGGAAGCACAGCTCAGCACCCAAGAAGCACGACTCAGCACCCAGGAAGCACAGCTCAGCACCCAGGAAGCACAGCTCAGCACCCAGGAAGCACAGATCAGCACCCAGGAAGCACAGCTCAGCACCCAGGAAGCACAGCTCAGCACCCAGGAAGCACAGCTCAGCGCCCAGGAAGCACAGATCAGCACCCAGGAAGCACAACTCAGCACCCAGGAAGCACAGCTCAGCACCCAGGAAGCACAGCTCAGCGCCCAGGAAACACAGATCAGCACCCAGGAAGCACAGCTCAGCACCCAGGAAGCACAGCTCAGCACCCAGGAAGCACAGATCAGCGCCCAGGAAGCACAGATCAGCACCCAGGAAGCACAGCTCAGCACCTAGGAAGCACAGCTCAGCACCCAGGAAGCACAGCTCAGCGCCCAGGAAGCACAGATCAGCACCCAGGAATCACAACTCAGCACCCAGGAAGCACAGCTAGGGTCCCAGCACCCAGGAAGCACAGATCAGCACCCAGGAAGCACAACTCAGCACCCAGGAAGCACAGCTCAGCACCCAGGAAGCACAACTCAGCACCCAAGAAGCACAGCTCAGCACCCAGGAAGCACAGCTCAGCACCCAGGAAGCACAGCTCAGCACCCAGGAAGCACAACTCAGCACCCAGGAAGCACAGCTAGGGTCCCAGCACCCAGGAAGCACAACTCAGCACCCAGGAAGCACAGCTAGGGTCCCAGCATCCAGGAAGCACAACTCAGCACCCAGGAAGCACAGCTAGGGTCCCAGCACCCAGGAAGCACAGCTAGGGTCCCAGCATCCAGGAAGCACAACTCAGCACCCAGGAAGCACAGCTAGGGTCCCAGCACCCAGGAAGCACAGCTAGGGTCCCAGGACCCAGGAAGCACAGTTCAGCACCCAGGAAGCACAGCTAGGGTCCCAGCACCCAGGAAGCACAACTCAGCACCCAGGAAGCACAGCTAGGGTCCCAGCACCCAGGAAGCACAGCTAGGGTCCCAGCACCCAGGAAGCACAGTTCAGCACCCAGGAAGCACAGCTAGGGTCCCAGCACCCAGGAAGCACAACTCGGCACCCAGGAAGCACAGCTAGGGTCCCAGCACCCAGGAAGCACAGCTAGGGTCCCAGCACCCAGGAAGCACAGTTCAGCACCCAGGAAGCACAGTTCAGCACCCAGGAAGCACAGCTAGGGCCCCAGCACCCAGGAAGCACAACTCATCACCCAGGAAGCACAACTCAGCACCCAGGAAGCACAACTCATCACCCAGGAAGCACAACTCAGCACCTAGGAAGCACAACTCAGCACCTAGGAAGCACAACTCAGCACCTAGGAAGCACAACTCAGCACCCAGGAAGCACAACTCATCACCCAGGACGCACAACTCAGCACCCAGGAAGCACAACTCATCACCCAAGAAGCACAACTCAGCACCCAGGAAGCACAACTCAGCACCTAGGAAGCACAACTCGGTACCCAGGAAGCACAACTCAGCACCTAGGAAGCACAACTCATCACCCAGGAAGCACAACTCAGCACCTAGGAAGCACAACTCGGTACCCAGGAAGCACAACTCAGCACCTAGGAAGCACAACTCATCACCCAGGAAGCACAACTCAGCACCTAGGAAGCACAACTCGGTACCCAGGAAGCACAGCTCAGGTCCTAAGAAACAGCTAAGGTCCCAGCACCCAAGAAACACACTTAGGGTCCCCAGCACACTGAGGACCACTACTATCACCTCAGTGAGGACCACTGCTATCACCACACTGAGGATCACTACTATCAGCACTGAGCACCACTACTATCATCACACTGAGGACCACCATTACTCTCTCCACACTGAGGACTACTACTGACTATCAGCACTGAGGACCACTGCTATCACCACGCTGAGGACCACTGCTATCACCACACTGAGGACCACTACTGACTGTCAGCACTGAGGACCACTACTATTACTACACTGATGACCGCTACTATCACCACACTGAGGACCACCATTGCTATCACCACACTGAGGACCACTATTATCAACACTCATGACCGCCACTGACTCAGCACACTCAGGACCACTATTGTCAGTACACTCAGGACCACTACTGTCAGTACACTCAGGACCACTACTGACTCAGCACACTCAGGACCACTACTGTCTGTACACTCAGGACCACTACTGTCAGTACACTCAGGACCACTACTGACTCAGCACACTCAGGACCGCTATCAGTACACTCAGGACCACTACTGACTCAGCACACTGAGGACCACTACTATCAGCACTAAGGACCATTACTGACTCAGCACACTGAGGACCACTACTATCAGCACACTGAGGACCACTGTTATCACCACACTCATGACCACGACTGACTCAGCATACTCAGGACCACTACTATAAGCACTGATTGTAATAAAGTTGGTAGAATTACCGACAATATGTAAAGTAAAAGGACACAAGTGCAACTAATGTGACATTTATTGTTGCAACGTTTCGCTCTCCAGGAATGGCTTGATAAAGCTCCTGGAGAGCGAAACGTTGCCACAATAAATGTCACATTAGTTGCACTTGTGTCCTTTTACTTTACATACTATAAGCACACTGAAGACCACTACTATCAGCATACTGAGGACCATCATTGACTATCAGCACATTGAGATAGTAGTAGTTGCAGTGTCAGTAGTAGCAGTAGTAGTCATACTGGTTGTGGTGGTCGTAGTGGTGGTTTTAGTAGTACAGTAGTAATGGTTATAATAGTGGTAGTTGTGATAGTGGTAGTAGTGATTGTGATAGTAGTGGGAGAGGCAGTTGTGTGGATTGGTATCGTTAATGGTTTGTTGTGGTAGTAGTGGCAACGGTAGTGGTGGTATTAGTGGTAGTATTAATAGTGTTGGTGGTATTAGTGATAGTATTAGTAGTGTTGGTGGTATTAGTGGTAGTAGTAGTGGTGGTAGTGGTAGTAGTTTTAGTAGTGGTAGTGGTGGTATTAGTGGCAGTTCTGGTAGTGGCTCAGACATGAACTTAGGCTCACGGACATACCATGTACCAGTTCACTGATTGGTTCTTCGGCCCGGTATGACGACCACTGATTGGCCACGAAGGATGGGCCCACCGTCGCGCCATAAAGCGCCACAACCAATCACAGCACGCGCCTTAGTATCCATGGATCAACGCGAGCGCCGCAAGCTAGCAGAAACCAACCATTGATCTCCATCTTAATAAGCAGACCTTTGCAGAAGGTAAGTCGAAAACAGTATATTCGTTTTTATACCCTTGATAAAATCCTCGAGAAACGAAAATCATAAATCTGTATTTTGAGAAATTCTCTCGTCATGGCGACGTAATGTCAGCGTTAGCACCTCTTATTTTGTTGAGATTCTGATGGTCAGCTAGTCAAACTGGAAGCCTGGCCCCAGGCTCTTAAACATGTTAGGTAAAAGGACACAAGTGCAACTAATGTGACATTTTATTGTGGCAACGTTTCGCTCTCCAGGATCTTTGTCAAGCCGTTACAAACAATAACGACCACAATAACGATGCCACAATAAATTTTATTTCGCATTAGTTGCAGCTGTGTTCTTTTACCTAACATATTGTCGGTAATTCCACCAACATTGTTATAATTGAAACCAATTTTTATTTGGAAAATATTTGCTAAAAAGATTCATTTTCATGAGAGGATGAACGTCAAGTTGTTAAAATGTGTGTCCGGCCAATCAGCGGCCAGGCTACCCCTCACTGGACCAGTCAGGTAAAGAACATAAGAAAACATAAGAACATAAGGAAGGAGCACTACAGCAGGTCTGTTGTACATGAATAGTATAAACCATACCACGAGTGGGGTTTGAACCCGCGGTCAGAGAGTCTCAAAACCCCAGACCGTCGCCGGTTCAAACCCCACCCGTGGTATGGTTTGTTTGCAATCGTGTCATTACGAGTGCGTGAGTTATGAATGGTATATGCTGGCCTATGCTAGACAAGTCCAAGTCACATCCACTTAAGAAAGAAGAAGCACTGCACTGCAGTGAAATCCATTCATACCCACCCGTGTATTTGTCTAACCTATTTTAAAAACTGCACAACGTTTTAGCTTCAATGACGTTACTCGGAAGTTCCACTCATCTACAACTGTTACCAAACCAGTACTTTCCTATATCGTTTCTTAATCTAAAGTTTTCCAACTTGAACCCATTGCTGCGAGTTCTGTCTTCGTTTGATATTTTTAGCATGTTATTTACATCCTCTTTATTTATTCCTGTTAAGTAAAAGGACACAAATGCAACTAATGTGACATTTTATTGTGGCAATGTTTCGCTCTCCATGAGCTTTGTCAAGCCGTAACGGTTTGACAAACTTAGAGAGTGAAACATTGTCACAATAAAATGTCACACTCTTGGATAAGAAACTCTTTGATGATGAGCTTTTTTGCCACCGAAGATCCCTGGGCGATACAGTGATTTGAAGACATTGTCGCCTTACATCACAACAACGCTGTGTAAATAACCCTAAGTGGAAGAGTTGTCACGTCATGGTTGTTAATCCAAGAGGAAATAAATATATTTCTAAGGGTATATGACAAGCAAACAGCGTCAAGACGAGGAAACACGTCAGTTCCATGACTGCTGGCTCTCCAATACCTTTGTGTGTGTGTGTGGAGGGCACGTCCTTGTATGTATCCTGTTGACATGTCATCGCCAAAATTTCATTTTTTATTTCCCGTGTGTTGGGTAGACCATCCCAAGAAATTGTTATTCCCAAGCAGCAGTATCTCCAAAAGTGAACACCTGGATATTCCTCTCCGCTTCTCCTTCTGTCTTTTAGTTTCTTCAATAAAGATATCCAGGTATTGCACGTGTGTCTCATTAATAATAATAATAATAATAATAATAATAATAATAATAATAATAATAATAATAATTTTATTTACTACAAGTACATGTACATAGTATACAGGGCTAGCTGACATCAATGACATACTACTACATAGAAAGCCGCTTGTTATGCTGAGCATTTCGGGCAAATTAGGTCAGTTTTGTCCCAGGATGCGACCCACAACAGTCGACTAACACCCAGGTACCCATTTTAAACTGGTGGGTGAACAGGGACAGGGACAGCAGGTGCCTTATGGAAACACGTCCCTAATGTTTTTCAGACGTACCGGAGGAGATTCGAACTCCGGACCTCAGTGTGCGAACTGAGTGCGCTAGTGATAGAGCTACGGGACATCTTTTCGGTATTTCATACCATAAGCGTATGATAACAGTAATTCCAAAGCTGTTGTAACGAAATAAAGAGGTTATGACTCATGAAGGTTGCAGGTTTGGAAGTAGAGCACTTGGGAAGGACGTCGTGGAGCTGTGAACACCGGAAATGACAAACATCCCAAATGTAGTAAAGAAAGTCGTGAGGTGAGCAATAATAAGAGGAGGATAATCAAGGAAAAACAGCGAGAAATAAATATTAGACACAAGAGAAGGAACTATTCGCAGTCTCTTATACTTGAAAAATTTATAAATGGTTCAGAAAACCGACAAGTAGATGCATAAGACACTTGTGCAAGGCTTGGGTATCTTTATCGTGGAAACATTTTGCTAGCCAGTGGCTTCCTAAATCCAGTACGGAGAAGAATGGTAGATCAGGAGTCTGAGGTAATCAGTCCCTCACCCTGGAGTCCATCTAATTAGTCCATAAATCTTGATAAAATTACAGCATATGCGCGTAGAAAAGGCTTATATACTGCAGACAGTTGAGGCGAAACAGTCGAAGGTGGTCACAGTGGAAAAATCCACAGGTGGAAGTAGGTCATGCCTATAGGTTAGGCAAGCATACAATTCCCCGCATCAAGATCCGAAGAAGTTGCTATGACTGACAGGAATTGTAGATAAATAGTTCAGAAAACCGACAGGTTGATGAATGAGACACTTGTGCAACACTTGGACTAACGAAGCCACTGGCTAGCGGAACGTTTCCACAATAAAGATACCCAAGTGTTACACAAGTATCTTATTCATGAACTTGTCGGTTTTCTGAACCATTTGTTCGCAATTCCTGTCAGACACAGTGACATCGGATTATAAATAAGACACATGTACAACTCTTAGGTATCTTTATTCAGATACATTTCGCCTACACAGTAGGCTTCTTCAGTTGATTACAGAGTTAGCAGAAGCAGTAAAGATGTGAAGACGATGTAATCAGTCCATCACCCTTGAAGACGTAGTTTTGAGGTGGTCAGTCCCTTAGCCTGGAGAAGTCTTGCTAGACCCATAGTCTGGAACAATGTGAAGTTGAAGCAACAGTATGATCGGATCTTGTTACAGAGAATTATATGCTTTGATCCAGGTCATTGGGCTTCTGTGATCCAGGTCAGTGGGCTTCTATGATCCAGGTCATTGGGTTTCTATGATCCAGGTCAGTGAGCTGTGATCTAGGTCAGTGGGCTTCTGTGATCTAGGTCAGTGGGCTTCTGTGATCCAGGTCAGTGGACTTTTATGATTCAAGTCAGTGGACTTTATGATCCAGGTCAATGGGCTTCTATGATCCAGGTCAGTGGGCTTTATGATTCAGGTCAATGGGCTTCTATGATCCAGGTCACTGGGCTTCTGATGGTCAACTGGTCAGTGGGCTTCTGTGATCCAGGTCAGTGGGCTTCTGTGATCCAGGTCAGTGGACTTTTATGATCCAGGTCAGTGGGCTTTATGATCCAGGTCAGTGGGCTTCTATGATCCATGTCAGTGGGCTTCTGATGGTCAACTGGTCACTGGGCTTCTATGATCCAGGTCAGTGGGCTTCTGTGATCCAAGTCAGTGGACTTCTATGATCCAGGTCAATGGGCTTCTATGATCCAGGTCAGTAGACTTCTATGATCCAGGTCAGTGGGCTTCTGTGATCCAGGTCAATGGGCTTCTATGATCCAGGTCAGTGGGCTTCTATGATCCAGGTCAGTGGGCTTCTATGATCCAGGTCAGTGGACTTCTATGAGCCAGGTCAATGGGCTTCTATGATCCAGGTCAGTGGACTTCTATGATCCAGGTCAGTGGGCTTCTGTGATCCAGGTCAATGGGCTTCTATGATCCAGGTCAGTGAGCTTCTGTGATCCAGGTCAATGGGCTTCTGTGATCCAGGTCAGTGGGCTTCTGTGATCCAGGTCAATGGGCTTTGTGATCCAGGTCATTGGGCTTCTATGACCCAGGTCAATGGGCTTTATGATCCAGGTCAATGGGCTTCTGATGGTCAACTGGTCACTGGGCTTCTATGATCCAGGCCAGTGGGCTCCTATGATCCAGGTCAGTGGGCTTCTGATGGTCAACTGGTCACTGGGCTTCTGTGATCCAGGTCAGTGGGCTTCTGTGATCCAGGTCAGTGGGCTTCTATGATCCAGGTCAGTTGACTTCTATGATCCAGGTCAGTGGGCTTCTGTGATCCAGGTCAATGGGCTTCTATGATCCAGGTCAGTTGACTTCTATGATCCAGGTCAATGGGCTTCTATGATCCAGGTCAATGGGCTTCTATGATCCAGGTCAATGGGCTTCTATGATCCATGTCAGTGGGATGCTATGGTCACAAAAAAAATAATAAATCGTAGAGGTCACACATCGCATGAGGTATCCAGGTTAGTAAGGTTATCGAAGTTAAAATCTTGATAGCCTTGAGAATAGGCTGGAAGATTTCGGTTAGAAGGTTTGGATTTCAAGGCCTGCCTAGTATTGGCATGTGGACCTGTTGCAGTGTTCTTCTCTTTATATGTTCTGATGTTTAATGCACGGAAGGGAAGAGTAGCTCCAATTCGTCGATAAAGAGGCCCTCACCGGTGTGGAGGTAACCCTCTTTAGGAGGAGTGGAGAGGCAGCGACATACACCTGTTAAGTGAAGGAGAGGAAAATAACACTCAACATTGAGTGGCACCTGGCATGAGATTGACATTGACTAGATAATGATCCAAGTCGGACCGAAACGTCGTCGTAAGTTTCATTCTCGTGTGTGTGGGTTATTTGTGCATTGTTTCAGTCATGGTATTGTGCCTTTTTATTTTTTATATACATTTGATAAGGAAGCTTACTCCAAAAGTACCTTCACGCTTTTAACATCTCTCTCTCTTTCTTTGTAACACGTCTTGTGAATTCCGGTTAAACATTGAATTTAAGCTTTTAGTTTAGTTAAACCTGAGTGTGGCAGTGACCATGAAGCTGCAGCTGCCGGGTATGTAAACATTGGCTCACTACTCCCCACCTTGGCTCAATGTTAACTTTAAAAAATGAAGGTAAACTGCGCTAATCACAATTACAAAATTGTATATATATATATATATATATATATATATATATATATATATTACAATAAATTTTTTTTCAACCCAACTTAAAGATATCATAGTAAAATTTTTGATGTTATTGACTAAGGAAATTGCAGATTTAATGACTTACGTAGAATCTGTAGGCCTCAGAGTTGAAAAACAAATAATTGTAAATAGGTTAGTCTTATGTAATTGGATGACGTGATAGGTAAGCTGAGGGAACTTACGAGCACTCCAGTTTGATAAAAAAAAATGGAGAAAGTTAGTAGCATTTCCCTCCCGTATGAGCCTCTGCTACTGCACTTGGGACTAGTGAAGTGATCTTTTCGTTGGCTAGCTCACAGCGCATATAATCGACTGACCTGTCACTTTCATTTGCAGCAGCAAGAGAAAGGGTCAAGTGTGCCTAGTGTGGGACGTCAGCGGTGAGGCTCGCCGTCTGGTTGGCTGAAGTGTGAGGAGGCGGGGTCTACCTAAACCCCCTTTGCGCTCGCTCACTTAAATTCAGTTGCAGTCGAGCAGTTAGTGAGGACGGTTGTTGTAGCTGAGCTCTTCCACACCTCGTGTGGCTTGCCCCTCTCGCTACTTGTCATAGGATAATTTTAGTGTTGTTCTTAGTGTATTCTCCTAAGGGGCAAGTGTGACACTATTCCAAAACACCCACAGCAGCCAAGTGTAGCGACACAACAGCCAAGATGACGGATTTAGGCGTGAGCGAAGTAACAGAATGGTATAGAAACAAGACAGTTTTCATCACTGGTGGAACAGGCTTTATGGGGAAGGTGCTTGTAGAGAAACTGCTTCGTGCATGCCCCGTCAGAAGGATCTACCTACTCATGAGACCCAAGAGAGGCGTAGACGTCAACCAGCGCCTCGACGACATGTTTAATTTCAAGGTAAGTTTAACTATCAAGTTGAATAATAAGAAGTTTATATTTACCATATGTGCACTTGTGGCAGGGAGTGAAGCGGTGAGGTGTACTGACCTAGTAACACAACCAGGTATGCTCACTCCTACCAGAATTCTCTTACCTAACTGCTTCGCTGAGTTAAATCTCCCTCGGTTATGTATCATAACGCCGTCTTCATAAATTGCTTGTTTTGCCTATTAGTGTCGGTATATAATAAACGAGAAAGAAAATCACACTTTGTTCTGTAATTATATTTCTTATGTAAATAGCTTCTGTAGATAGCACGTTTGATTGTTAATTACATTGCATCATATCTTTGGTTTAACTGGTGCATATTGAGGCATTTAAGGCAAAGTAAGCAGAGATGTAGGAAATAATCTTTGTTGTTCCATTGAGATACCTGGAAATTTGAAATTCCTCTCAAGTTGCTATGAACTACTACTAGCATCACCAGACCAGGCATTTTTCACTTGTACCGTAATTTTTTTCTCTTAAATTACAGCTTATTTGAATGCTTTACTAAAGCTGGAAAGATGCCAGATTATTTTGCTGCATCATTTTTTGTAGTTTGATCAGTTTTAAGTTTATGCATTTGCGGTTTTTCTTTAGTTGGTGTTTAAACTGGCGGTTTGAAGTGATTAATAAAGATGGGGGGAACGTTCACTATTACAGTGTAGAGGTGTACTGGGGCAGGTGGAGTTTCATGCCTCTTACAACCACACGAGTGAAAGTGATCATTCCACCTGGGGTAGAGGGGGGTGAGCTAAACCTCTGGGGACGTTCACCACTTCATATTTTGGTGATAAAACCCCGACGTTACATGACTACCAATGTTCTTGTAAATCTAGGTTGAATGGTTGGCCAATGTTTATTAAAAGTGCGATGTCTATGTCCTGGTATGCATTACTTATCTTACTGACCTTCTATTTAGGCGATTTTTGGCACTGTTGGAGAATGACTTCAGTTCTACTACGCTTCAGAGTAACTAGTTACTAGAAAGGGCTTTTGAGTGTGTATTTGAATTTTGTTAGGTTCATTTTACTTTCTCTAATCTTTTTGGGATTGCTAGGGTGTAAATTTGCATGAACCCGAAATCACTCTCAGCCAATCACTTGCTCTATCTGCTACCTGACCCCCGCATGACCTTGCTTTATGGAACCGGCTTCACCCGCCACGCAACGATGGTTCTTGGATCGCCTTGCTAGTTTTAGGGCTAACTTGCTATGAGGTCGAATCCTGCCCATTCCTTGAGTGGCAAACTTTTTGTATTAGTATGGCCAAAATAGTTTATTTAGGGAATGCTACATTTTATCATTACTACTTTTTTAATCAGCAATTGCAATGCATTTTGAGCATACTTTAAATGTGCTAGTAGGTTATTATTCAACGAGTTTCTTGTGGCCTGTTCATTCAGCACCACGCCATCATAGATGATTGTGGCGGAGAATGTACCATTTGCTCAAACTATCGACACTTTCGCACGACTTAGCTGACAGCCTTCTCTTGTTCCCAGGGGCACGCTTCTAGACATCATTTTTTTTTCTTCTTACCTGAAGTTATATAAGTAATACTGCAGTAGGACTACTGGAAAATTCTTAGGTAGCTCCAACTCCACCCATGTAAAGCCACTTGTATATTTTTCTAACCTGTTTTTAAAACTACAGTTTCTTAAATGATGATGCTTGGCAGTTCCCATGCTCATCTTCCGAGCGGTAGCGCAAAAACGTATTACTCGCATATTTATCAGGCCCCATTGTGTGAACATACGCATTTTGGATGGTAATTTCATAGTAGAATCACATTATGTAGTTTGCTAAAATATAGCTGCTGCAAATTGATATAAAATGATTTGCGGGAAGTGTGAGTGACTTAGCACAACTCAGGTATAGGGTTCACTTCCTAGTTCCATGCGGCCCAGCCCAGCTGCCTCAAGGTAAACCACCAAGCCTCGACCCTCCCTGCTTCACTTGACCTGGCCTCACTCATGGCACCAACACTCGCCATCTTGCTCATTTGTGTATTTAGTTTTTCGTCTCTTCGTCTTGTCTCCTTCTGTAAGTCTTTCTTTGCTTTGTCTCTAAACGTATAGTCTCTGCCTCTTAGGTTTCTCTTCACATTTTATCTGCGCTTCCTGTTAGTACATCTCTGAACGTCTTTTGCATACGTCTCTTGTTTCTTCGGCCGTATATATTTTGTCCCCGCACTGTTCTGTTTTATCCGTACGCCTCTCATATCTTGCACATCTCCCCCCTCTTCGCGTCTCTTCTCTCCCTCAACATTTGTCTCGCCCAATCTTACCTCTTCTCATCCTTTTTCTGTCCGTGGACGTCAAAGCTCTGCCCCCCCCCCCCGCCCTTCTGCCCCTCCAGGGAGGTTCCTTGACGCTGGTGTGGGGCTTTTGATCTAGGGAATTGGACCTGTGCTCCGGTTCCTTGAACCGAGCCTGAATACCTTCCATCCCCCCCCCCCCCACTTGCGCTGTATAATCCTACGATGTTTTACCACTCCTATAATTATTATAATTATAATCTCTCCCCTCTGGAAGTCAATAGTTTTATCCCTCCTTCTGGACTCAGATATACTCTCCCTTCTGGACGTCAGTATATACCTCTCCCTCCTGGCGTCAGAATTTACCTCTCCCCTCCTGGACGTCAAGTATATACCTCTCCCTCCTGGACGTCAGATATCCTTGCCCTCTTCTGGACGTCAGATATACCTTCCCTCCTTTGACGTCGATATACCTCTCCTCCTGACGTCCGATATACCTCTCCCTCCTTCGCGTCAGATTACCTCTCCCTATTCTGGAGTCAATATACCTCTCCCTCTTCTGGACGTCAGATATACCTCTCCCTCTTCTGGACGTCAGATATACCTCTCCCTCTTTCTGGACGTCAGATATACCTCTCCTTCCTTCTGGACGTCAGATATACCTCCCCCTCCTGGACGTCAGATATACCTCCCCCTCCTTCTGGACGTCAGATATACCTCCCCCTCCTGGACGTCAGATATACCTCTCCTTCTGGACGTCAGATATACCTCTCCTTCTGGACGTCAGATATACCTCTCCTTCTGGACGTCAGATATACCTCTCCCTCCTTCTGGACGTCAGATATACCTCTCCCTCTTCTGGACGTCAGATATACTCTCCCTCCTTCTGGACGTCAGATATACCTCTCCCTCCTTCTGGACGTCAGATATACCTCTCCTCCTTCTGGACGTCAGATATACCTCTCCCTCCTTCTGGACGTCAGATATACCTCTCCCTCCTTCTGGACGTCAGATATACCTCTCCCTCCTTCTGGACGTCAGATATACCTCTCCCTCTTCTGGACGTCAGATATACCTCTCCTCCTTCTGGACGTCAGATATACCTCTCCCTCCTTCTGGACGTCAGATATACCTCTCCCTCCTTCTGGACGTCAGATATACCTCTCCCTCCTTCTGGACGTCAGATATACCTCTCCCTCCTTCTGGACGTCAGATATACCTCTCCTTCCTGGACGTCAGATATACCTCTCCCTCCTTCTGGACGTCAGATATACCTCTCCCTCCTTCTGGACGTCAGATATACCTCTCCCTCCTTCTGGACGTCAGATATACCTCTCCCTCCTTCTGGACGTCAGATATACCTCTCCCTCCTTCTGGACGTCAGATATACCTCTCCCTCCTTCTGGACGTCAGATATACCTCTCCCTCCTTCTGGACGTCAGATATACCTCTCCCTCCTTCTGGACGTCAGATATACCTCTCCCTCCTTCTGGACGTCAGATATACCTCTCCCTCCTTCTGGACGTCAGATATACCTCTCCCTCCTGGACGTCAGATATGCCTCTCCCTCCTGGACGTCAGATATACCTCTCCCTCCTTCTGGACGTCAGATATACCTCTCCCTCCTTCTGGACGTCAGATATACCTCTCCCTCCTCTGGACGTCAGATATACCTCTCCCTCCTTCTGGACGTCAGATATACCTCTCCCTCCTCTGGACGTCAGATATACCTCTCCTCTTCTGGACGCAGATACCTCTCCTCTCCTGGACGTCAGATATACCTCTCCCTCCTTCCTGGACGTCAGATATGCCTCTCCCTCCTCTGGACGTCAGATATGCCTCTCCCTCCTCCTGGACGTCAGATATACCTCTCCCTCCTCCTGGACGTCAGATATACCTCTCCCTCCTCCTGGACGTCAGATACACCTCTCCCTCCTCCTGGACGGCAGATACTACCTCTCCCTCCTCCTGGACGTCAGATATACCTCTCCCTCCTCCTGGACGGTCAGATAACCTCTCCCTCCTCCTGGACGGCAGATAACCTCTCCCTCCTCCTGGACGGCAGATACACCTCTCCCTCCTCCTGGACGGCAGATACACCTCTCCCTCCTCCTGGACGGCAGATACACCTCTCCCTCCTCCTGGACGGCAGATACACCTCTCCCTCCTCCTGGACGGCAGATACACCTCTCCCTCCTCCTGGACGGCAGATACACCTCTCCCTCCTCCTGGACGGCAGATACACCTCTCCCTCCTCCTGGACGGCAGATACACCTCTCCCTCCTCCTGGACGGCAGATACACCTCTCCCTCCTCCTGGACGGCAGATACACCTCTCCCTCCTCCTGGACGGCAGATACACCTCTCCCTCCTCCTGGACGGCAGATACACCTCTCCCTCCTCCTGGACGGCAGATACACCTCTCCCTCCTCCTGGACGGCAGATACACCTCTCCCTCCTCCTGGACGGCAGATACACCTCTCCCTCCTCCTGGACGGCAGATACACCTCTCCCTCTCCTGGACGGCAGATACACCTCTCCCTCCTCCTGGACGGCAGATACACCTCTCCCTCCTCCTGGACGGCAGATACACCTCTCCCTCCTCCTGGACGGCAGATACACCTCTCCCTCCTCCTGGACGGCAGATACACCTCTCCCTCCTCCTGGACGGCAGATACACCTCTCCCTTCCTCTGGACGGCAGATACACCTCTCCCTC